CGGCAGGGAGGCTGCCGCACAGCAGGGAGGCTGCCGCACAGCAGGGAGGCTGCCACACAGCAGGGAGGCTGGTATAATAGCAGAACTCCCGACGGTTCATGGGCGCCCAACCTAATGAACAGTGCCTCACAGCCAGAAACCTGTGGTGCAATGCCTCTGAAGGCCACTAGAGATTCCCGGATCACAACAGCCACCCCTCCTCCCCTGCCCTGGTATCTTGGCTGGTGCCATACCAAGAACCCAGCTGGGCACATTTCTGGGGGGGGATATCCCCCCCTCGGGCCCCAGCCAGGTCTCAGTAATGCATGCCAGGTCTGCCCCCTGCTCGGTGATCAAGTCATATATGAGGGGGGCCTTATTGTTAACCAACCTGACATTAAGCAGCAGCAGCTGACAGCCAGGGCCCCTACGAACCTGCTGACCAGGCCCTGGGAATGAGCCAGGAGGGCCGGAACTTGCCACCAGTAACACACACCGGGGGCGTCTTCCCCGAAGATGGCCCGCCCTCTAGCTCCCGCCATATCGTCCCCTACCCGTCACCACCTCGATAGTGTAGCCCACTGCATAATCCCCAGGGGCTCCGGGCCCAAATGCCTCTGATCCTGGACCTCCGGGGTCCTTAATCCAGGGCAAGGGTCCCTCCCTCCAGCCACTCATCCTCATTCACACCCACTCACAGGTGAGGGAGGGTCGTCCCGGCACACAAGCTCCCGCTCTCGGCGCCTCCAGGACCCACAAAACCTTACACTCCCAGACACTCTCTGCCACCCTACATGACCTCTCTCACTAGTCGGCAGGGTGGACATCCCATTCACTCCCTCATACCTCCTGTCTCCCACCCAGAAGGTGGATCCTGATATCCTCATGCACTCCCAGACTCCCTCCCAGACTCTCACTCCCACGAGGGAGTCCCAGACTCACCCCGCAGTTCTCCACTGGCCCTGGGGGAGGGAGGTAAATGGGGGTGACTAGCTTCTTCAATTCACTAGTCTTAAAACCAAGGGCTGTTGGCTTCTTTTGCTGTCCAGCTGCTCCCCTGTCCAGCTGTTCCTCTGAAGCCAAATGATCTTCCTCCACAGCTGGACTCCAAGTTCACTATGGCCTCGCCCCCCCCAACCCACCCAGCATCCTGGCGCCAGACCACCAAGTTCCCAGACTCCAGGCGCCTGTAAGTTCCCACATCCCCGGAGTTAGCTCCGGGGCTCACTAAAACACGACATGTAGTCCCGGGGTCGTTGGAGTCGCAGCGCTGCTCCAGGGGCTCCTAGGGCTCACTGTGCCACATTACGGCCTGCTGTGCCTGCTGGACCTTGCGTTGGGTACGCTGCGACCTGGGCTTGCCGAGCCCTCTGGGCCTGGAGCTCGGTGTTCTGCATCGGGGTCTGTTGAGGTTTGCCATGCTGTGCTAGGACTTGCCGGGGCTTCCTGTGCCGCGCTGGTGCTCACTAGGACTCTCCGTGGCTCGTTGCACGCTCCCGGGGCCTCGTCGTTTCAGGCTCGCCGAAGGTCGCCACCCACGCCAAGGCCCGCGAGGACTCTCTCCGCCCACCACGCCTAGGTAGGCTCAGTCGGCTCGCCGCATTGCAACGGTGCCCCTTGAAGTATGCCACGCTAGAGACCAGCCAAGCTCTCCGCTCCGGGGGCTCGGCGCACCACACAGGGACCGCGCCGCACCGGAGCTTGCCCGAGGCTTGTCCAAGGCTGCTGCTCTCCACCACAACTGCCACGCTTTGCTCGTGCCCTAAAGCTCCATCCAAGGGTTACGCCTGAGTCGACACACCAAAGGGGCTCCCCCCAAGGTCTCCTCCACACCCAGTCCACACTTAATGAGATTGATCCATCACTCAAAAGGGGAATGGATTTTTCTGAAGTCACATGTCCTATCCTAAAAGGCCAGGAGGTGGCGCCATAGACTTAATTTCATTTCTGTCAGATTCTTACCCAAGATGGTATGTAGACCCAGGTGACTTTGTGGGGAGGAGGTTTCAGTCCCCCAACCTTTTATCCCATTGGCTCAGTTCTGCTACTACAGTGTTCAGGATCTCCCAACTCTCTGAACCTGTTCTTTTAAATGCTGAGTGATTGAACTTCACTGGCTTTGTTGAAATTAGTTGTTTTTAAAGTCCAAAGAGCGCATCTGATTAAGCTTATTTTTCACAACTCTTGTTTTCATGATAGAAATGCACATAGGTAGGATATTGCATGAGCACAACACCATTTTGCTACTGAAAAAAAGAAGTCTCCCTTAAAAATAGCAGAGAAATCTTGTGCTGATGCTTGCATGAGATCTGAACAGCTTCTTCCTGATAATTTACAAAGCCTTCTGTGTAGCTCAGCCTGATCCAGAGCACTGTGTGAGCAAATCCATGTACTGAAATGTTACTTGTGCTTTTTCAGTTAAAAAAGGGGTCACTAGATCTTCCAAATAGTATACAAGAAAATATGGGTATATTTTTTTTATAATGGCAAATCAATCCCACTTTTAGAATTGCAGATAAACAGTAACCAATAATTATAAGTCTAAAATATAAAATTCAATTCAGGTAAACAGGTGACATTTCAGATTTTAAAAACTTCCAGCACTGTATAAAGTATACTTTGCCTGTAACAGAACAATAGCACATTTATTGTGTCATTTCTTCTTTTTTTCAAGTTTGAAGGTTGGTGTAGAGATCACTCTTAAGCTACTATTTTCTTTCATACTTTTTCACCTTCCTGACTTGTCCTAAAAGTTTATTACAGAGCCTTACACCAAACGATTCCTGGAAGTCTTCCCGAAGCAAACCTTTTTTCTTGAATCAAAATGAGCCTTTTGACCCATCCCCCAATGGCTACCCCACAAAGTACAGCCCTCGCTATGAGTCCATTACTGGCCCCCAGTCACATCTTGGACAGGTGGTGAAATCATGGAGGCTCCTGATTGGGCAGGGAGAACCGGGCTGGATCAATTAAGAGGGGAGGGGTGTTGCTCAGGTTCAGAGATGAAATGAAAATATGAGAAAACTATGAAGTTTACCTGAGCCTGGAAAAATAAAAAAATGATGCAGACCAATTTGAAAAACACTGGGACACCAAGAATTAAAAAAAAAAAAAAAGAATTCCCCTCCTAAAATGGATAGATTTTGTAGGGATCACAAATCCTCCCAGAGAGAATAGAAATCAAGTTTTCTAATCAAGTTTTCTGAAACAGACAAAACATACCTGGAAATAGTGAGATCAGATAAACTCTGTAATTGCCTGGGGTGGATCAGATTATACTTGGAGGTCTGAGTCTGCCCTCAGAGATGATCTGGTGGGTCTCTGCACAGCCCTGATAGAGACATTACTGGGGAGTTATCTTTTGTTGACAGGTTAAAATCAGATTTTTTTCCCCCCTTATAGTTTGAATGGAAAAGATATTATACGGAATGGAGAATGGAATGACATATTGGTTTGTGGGAAAGACCTTTGGAGCCAGGAGGAACTGCTGCAGCCTATCATGGCCCAGGCCCAGGCCCAGGACGCTGATTCTGAATCTCAGACTGACCTTCAAGAAGCTGCTCCAGCTGAACCTGTGGAGTTTCAGCCTCAGGAGAGACAAGGCCAGGAATCACATGAGGCTGATCAAAACAGGCACCACCTCAGCAGCTGGAGAAGTCCGATGAGGATGACATAAGGCCCCCAAGCCCCCGCAAACGGCAAGTAGAGTGAAGAGCAGAGCAAAGATGTTCTATGAGTCTTCTTGCCAAGCAAGGGAGCCAATCTCCTGATTTAAGAGGCAGTTCTGACCCATGTGCCTTGCTTGAAACAACTGTCTGATCTCTGGCTTTTGTGTGATACTCATGTGTGGATTCTGCCTGTGAAATTCTGACCCCTGGACTGGCTGAAGACCCTGACCCAGCTCTCTGGATCTTGCACCGATTTTGGACTATTCTTCTGTGTGTTCCTGTTAAAAAGCAAATCACTCAGGCAAGCATCTGAGACTCTGTTTTGATCTGCATGCTTTGACCCTTGTTATCTCTTAACCTTGAATAAACTGTGAATTACCACAGCAACTGTGTGTGAGTCAGTATTTGAAACCAGGAGCAGGACACAGCCTAGGCAAAGATCAGACCAAAGGCAGCTGAGCCTGCTGCAGGAATGTGGGTGTGGCAAATGTCTCAGAAGGGACCTCTCCCTAGTTTCTCAGACTGTAAAGGTGAGGGAGGAAAGATGTATTTTCCGATTTGCAATATTTGGTTAATGTAGCTTTACAATAAATTAGAATTTGATCATCAGGTCTTGTTTCCTGTCTGGTCTACCTTGCAAAGCCAACAATATGTTTGTACTAGGAATCAGCCTAGGAAACTTTGGAACTTAATAGACATTTTTCTTATTTGAAGTAACACCTTTGGCCACTGATTATGCCTTGATGAGTTTCTGATCTGCAATTTATTTTGACTGTGCTGCAATTGCTTCATTTTACTGTAACTAATTATTCTGCTTCAGTCATTATGAAATGTATATATCACTAGAGCAGGACATATTTAGCTCAGGGTTGAACTCAACATGTGTGTATGATTTTACATCAAGTTCTCACTTTTTTCTAAAACTTGTTGCTGTCATGCCTGTTACCTCAATAAATTTTGAATTTCTTTCTTTTTTTTTTTGTGCAATTTATCTCAGTGGTCATCTTTCTGCTTGCTGGAGCTTTATAAAATA